CAGGGTTGGGCAAGTAAATTACCTTAGGTAAATTACGTGGTTTTTGACCGGTCATAAAGTAGGTAAATTACCCGGGCGAGTTGTCGGCTTTTTGACCTGTCAAAAACCTATGTGGCGCCATCTATTAGCACCTTGGGGAACCGGGAGATTTTTACCGAGAATACCGCCTGTCAGAGTTACAAGGGTCAAAATTCGAAAAAATCATACCCACTGAGGTTATGCCTCGCGAGGGTCAATCGTCGCAAAGGTCATACCTCGCAAGGGTCAAACGTGACAATCATAACTTGCGAGGGTCAAACGTCACAATCATAACTTGCGAGCGTCAAATGATCATAAGCTGTTGCAACAAAGACCAAACGGAATAGTTTCAGATTATTTTTTCTTAATTCATGATCGTTCCACCCTTGTCATTGTTCTGCCTACAGGAGAGAAGTTGAAAAATCACAAGAGTAAAAATTAAGACGCAGGCAAGCAGGAAAATCACAAACGATCAAGAAACAATCACAAAGTAGGTAAATCATAAGGGTCAATCAGGATAACTAGGCCGTGACCTGTTTGACCCTTGCGAACCTACTTGCTTTTTTTGTTTAAACTTTATGACCGTTGGAACCTTGTAATTGTACCGCCTGGCGTCCCCCGTTGACCCTCTTATTAGTTTCATCCTCCAGATTAAAGGATTGCTTCCATTGTTTGACCCTTGCGACGTTTGACCCTAAGAAAGCATAACCCTTGCGATGTTTAACCTTCGCGAGGATAACCCTCGTGATCGTTTGATCTTGACGATTTCGGGCCGATGTGCCTCTCACTTTTGACCCTTGTGACTTTTTAGCTTAGCTTCCTTGTAAAGAGCTTTCTGACACTTTTTGACATTTTTGACGCCCCAGAGGTAAATTACCGGTATTTGACAATGTCACGTCATAAACTTCCATCTGCGAGATATGCCCAACCCTGCTGAGTGGTCAAAATATCCGAATATTGTATAGTAAGTGTTGATTGTGCCAAGGCATTTGAATTGGATGAACACTATAGTGGATGAATGGTGAATTGCACAGGGGAGAGGGAAAATGGGTTTCCAAAGGAATAAGAATATGAAAATAACTGTTTGGTTTTTCAGATGAACTGACGAATAGACCGTTCCATAAAATCCCCGACAAGCAGATATCTTGGAGAGTGTAGACATGGAGCTGATTATTGTAAGAGTTTAATATTAATGGACTTTCGAAAAACATGTGCATTGATTTCTCACTCTATAACGCAAAGGTTCGTTCGACAAAACCACAGAATTATGATATATATACTACTTATTTACTTTGTCTTGACATATTATCTACCCATTATATCAAAAGATACTGGCTTTCGCTGTTTTGTTAGTTACGAGGAACATAGATATATTATGACTTCGAAGGTAACAGGTCTCATGAAAAACATGAACAAATAAGTACATGTTATGGTTGATAGTCGCGTGACCCATTCCGTGAGTGCCATAATCCGAGGAAGGTGAAATGCATTTTTATTGGAAGCCCTGGGGTGATTTTTCGAAAGGGCTTGGAAATGGAACGAATGTATGAATTGTAAGAATACCCGCTGACTGGATGAGGGAAATCGCTGACAATAAGTGAACTACCTGTGGATGTCATGAAGATATAATAGGTTTCTCTTTAGGATCAAAGGAATCTGCCTGACTGACAATGTTTTCGTCTTTACCGACTGCAATAGGTTTTCTTTTATCCTTAACTTTCTGCATTACTTACCTTAAATTTTTGATTGATCGATTATTATTTCTTTCCAATGAAAACAAAAAACAAATAGACAGTGTGTGATTAATGTATTCAATAAATTCTCTTTAAAAATAACAATAGTGATTTTTAATCACTTGTAGTTTTTACAACTAAAGTACTAGTCAGAAGTCTCTGCAGTAGACCAACTTCCCCAACGTTACTCGTCCTTCTTCACCTTTTTCAGGCATCAGGCGTTCATTGGTTGCCAACAATCATCAACTTCACTATGTTATTGACAGGACCATAAATGGTGTTTTCCACAATGCGAAACTCAATATGAAAACTCTCTTCATACATCTATGTCCATTTCATGGAATTCCGTACACACGGTATAACATGTACTGCATGCAAGGACATAATTGTGTTGGGCTACCAAATTTCGAATTTTCGGGAAGCATTGGACACACGTGTGCCAATGCCAACACGGTAAAGATATATATTTAGCTGCTTGGGCTGCCTTGCAGAATAAACATCGATGAATATCTAGTGGCCGCACTACAAACATTATAATGAGAATGATTAATGTCTCAATCGATTTCACTGATATTAACATATAATAGGTTCAATACTTACATGCAATCATGTCACCTCCGTCAATTTGAATTGACTCATCCAATGCAAACCATCGAGGAATGTTGAAAATATCCACTGAAAATGGTTTAAAAAAAAATCATTCACATATCTGAAACTGCAATAAATTAATGGATTACAATTGCTCATACGAACCGAGGTCATCAAATGTTAAAATGTTTGAAAAAATGTCAAGATCTTGAGGACCTGAAATCAGATATTTAGATCCCCCGGCCTACAGGAAGTGACTTGTAGCTGTTAGAAATTTCTCATTATTCAAGACACCATCATCATACAATTCCCAAGCTCTGGCGATGATTGCATCTTGTATCACGTACTGACGAGCTGGAGGATCTCGGACTGCCCGACCCTGATTGAGCGACAAAACCTCGTTTCGGGTAAATTGTTGAATTTGGAGAAGTTTAGCTGATGAAGAGAGAGGAAGTTTGATAGAATTTCACAAAGTCATTAATTCCTTCAGTGGACAGCATAGTTATTAATTTACCCGTGAATTGCCATATTGGCGGATGGACATGCATCCTCACTCTCAAAACCCTATGGTAGGCTTCAAGCGGGTTATTCGTTCGCCTCGTAAATGGGTAAACTGAATAATTTTCGGGTCGTACTGTGTTAAGCCACCATCGTCGATAATATCGGATGAGTTTGTCAAAATAACATATGAGGTCTGCTTCTGTATTTTGGAGGAGTGCCTCGAACGCCAGGGAGTAGGGCCAGGCCCATAATTTTCCGGAAGAAGAGTAAGCCTCGAGGCCAATTTTTCAAGTTTTCAAATTCCTTCTTCCCTCGACACTTTATCATTTTCCTCGTTAAACACTACAAGAACCGGAGACAATCAGTAATTAGTTCATATAGCAGAAGAGTATTAACTAATCTTATTGAACTAAATTCCGCTATGATTATTAAGGCCAACATAAAATAAAAAAATATGAGAAATAAGGATCAAATATATTAACGCCTTCATAGAATCAAAGCAACAGCTATAGGCAACAGTGGTAGTTTTGGATTGTGCGTTGAAGCATGGGTTTGACCGTGTTAAAAACTCATTGTCTATCTCTCGTTTCAATGCACGATGAAAACAGGGACTGTTCCTCATTCTGTCGACCTGTTTCTTATATTTGTTCCTTGTTCCTCGTTGTTTTTTTTGCGCGCCAGCCCTTACCTGGCAGTAGTGAAAAAAACACCGAATTATTCGAGCACGAGGATAGACCATTCTAATCGCTGAGCTCAAAGCTTGCTCAAAGTCAATAGTGAATGTCTTCGGTCTCCAGTGTATCGCTGCAATATTCTTGAAGTACCTCAGCAATGCTAGATATGTCGCAACATTCTTTCGTTCTGTAAGAGCCCATGCTATAGGAAGTACCTAAGGAAATACAAAATTTGGCCAATTAAAAAATCAAATTCGTGATCTTACTCATTCTGGCTGATTCCAATCATAAAACTCAAAATGAGATTTTACAACGCAATAGCATTTCTTATAAAATTGTGGTTTTAGAAACATTTGTATTTTTAATAATGAAATAAAAAATGCAAAACATCAAGATAATACTGAAATTGTTTCCCTACAAAAAACGAACATTAAAGAAACACGAGTGTCTGAGAAGATAAAGTTCGATGCATGCGCGCGCGGGTATACACTAGTCCCCAGAAAAAAAAATATGAAGTTTGAATTTTGAAAATAAGATGCGGATGTTTAAACAATTGAGATTTTGCATGAACCTTCTTTATTGCTGAATATGAAAATTGAATGAAAAATTTTACATGTTTTTTTAAAATATTGAAAAACAATGAACAATGAACAAGTTTTAGGCGATTGAAAACGTCTGCCTTATGACGTCGTGCAAGTCTAAACACTCATATACGAATCAGTGTGACATTATGAGGCAGAGGTTTCTTCAATTGACTATAACTTAGTCAATTTTAATTTTTTTTTATATAAAAAAATACGTATCTAATATTTTTCATCTAATTTTCGTATTTCATCATATTTTCCAATAAACAAATTTCATGCAACAATCCCATTTGCGGCATCAGTAATTATTACCGTATCGTCTATCGTAGCCATTATAATGACTAGTTGGAGAGTTCTTGGACGCCGCGAGCATACTGCGAATGTACCGTCGACGTGGAAATTTTCCACCTGGAGGGAACGCAAATAATTGAGATCTGCAAATACTGCTACTTTTGAACCAGCATTTGCTCGTAGGCAAGTCACTGAGATATCACCTCCATCGTAGCGAGTGTATTTCTCTCTCCAAGCTTCACTGTTTATCAGATTGACGTACTCGTCCAACGAGGTTGGTAATCGTGGAACTAATTTTTTACGCCACATTTTCATTTTCCTCCTCATAGCGGGATAGGGGCGGAGGATATTTCCTCGCACATGCCTAAAAAAAAGGCAAATGTAATTTAGGTCTCCATGCGGCAATCAGATGTTTATAATTATCATAAGATATTCCCCATAGTACGATGAAATAGTAGGAATTTCTGTATCTTTATGCCTGTTTACCCTATTATTAGTATTATTGTTCTATCCTGCAAAGTGTTCTTCTCGACAAAAATAATTAATTATATTCTCTCGGATTCCAAGAGAAATTGAAGCTTTTCAGATCTTCTCAACAAAGTCACAAGACGACATTTTGACTCTCAAAATATTTTGTTGACTAATTTCATGTGGATTGATTTGGGAATATTATGAAATTCAGGGATTTAATTTTGATGGGACGATGTTCAACATGGGCAATGAATTGACTGATCTTGATGAGGAGTATTTGTACACCCCCATCTTAATTTCACTGATGAAGAGTTGCTGATGCTGATAAATATGCACGAATTCCTGGACGACGACGCAGTGGTGGAGAACTGTGATATTCCACTGTCAGTTGGGATACACTTTGAGAAAATTAAAGAGAGGCCCTAACGGACCGAGGTGAGAGCGCGGTGAGAGTTGGTTGAGAGAGTCAATTTGTTCCACGAGTTGAGAGAATATTTGAGAGTTAGGTGAGAGATGGAGTTACGGCGCTTATTGTCCATAAAATTGATGATTAATGTAATGAATAATTAAGTTAATAAATAATTGATTCCATTGATGATGATTTTGATTTAATTTGATATTTTTAAATCGATAATTATTGTTTATAGGGCTCCCTCTCAACTCTCAATATTTTTGGGAGTTGAGAGTTGATTTTCAGAATAATTCCATTTGTCAATTGTTTATAGGGCTCTCTCTCAACTCTCACCTTCCGCGTGATTGAGAGTTGAGTTTCGGGACCTCTCCGGCACTCTCTGTCAACTCTCAATATTTTTGGGAGTTGAGAGTTGATTTTCAAAATAATTTTATTTTTACAATTGTTTATACGGCTCTCTCTCAACTCTCATTTTCCGCGTGATTGAGAGTTGAGTTTCGGGATCTCTCCGGCACTCTCTCACAACTCTCAATATTTTTGGGAGTTGAGAGTTGATTTTCAGAATAATTTGATTTTTACAATTGTTTATAGGGCTTTCTCTCAACTCTCATTTTCCGCGTGATTGAGAGTTGATTTTTGAGGTTTCTCCGGCACTCTCCCCCAACTCTCAATGTTTTGAAGGGTTGAGAGTTGATTTTCAGAATGATTTTATTTTCAATAGTTTATAGGGCTCTCTCGCAACTCTCACTTTCCGCGTGATTGAGAGTTGAGTTTCGGGGTTTCTTCGGCACTCTCTCTCAGCTCTCAATATTCATGGAAGTTGAGAGTTGATTTTCAGAAGGATTTTATTTTCAATTGTTTATAGGGCTCTCTCTCAACTCTCACTTTCCGCATGATTGAGAGTTGCGTTTGGGGGTTTTCCGACACTCTCTCTCAACTATCAATACTTTTGGGAGTTGAGAGTTGATTTTCAGGATAATTTTATTTTTCAATTGCTTATAGGGCTCTCTCTCAATTCTCCTTTTTCGGATGATTGAGAGTTGAGTTGTGAATTCTCTCCACAACTCTCTCAACTCTCAACTTTTTAAGGATTGGGAATAGATTCTTGGAATAATTGTTCTTTGTTCATTTGTTCTGGTAATATGGCTCCTCTCAACTCTCAATTTTAAAAAAATTCATAATAGATTATTAACGTCATTTTTTTGCTTCGTTTTTTATATTTATAGGACTATCTCTCAGCTCTNTGACTGATCTTGATGAGGAGTATTTGTACACCCCCATCTTAATTTCACTGATGAAGAGTTGCTGATGCTGATAAATATGCACGAATTCCTGGACGACGACGCAGTGGTGGAGAACTGTGATATTCCACTGTCAGTTGGGATACACTTTGAGAAAATTAAAGAGAGGCCCTAACGGACCGAGGTGAGAGCGCGGTGAGAGTTGGTTGAGAGAGTCAATTTGTTCCACGAGTTGAGAGAATATTTGAGAGTTAGGTGAGAGATGGAGTTACGGCGCTTATTGTCCATAAAATTGATGATTAATGTAATGAATAATTAAGTTAATAAATAATTGATTCCATTGATGATGATTTTGATTTAATTTGATATTTTTAAATCGATAATTATTGTTTATAGGGCTCCCTCTCAACTCTCAATATTTTTGGGAGTTGAGAGTTGATTTTCAGAATAATTCCATTTGTCAATTGTTTATAGGGCTCTCTCTCAACTCTCACCTTCCGCGTGATTGAGAGTTGAGTTTCGGGACCTCTCCGGCACTCTCTGTCAACTCTCAATATTTTTGGGAGTTGAGAGTTGATTTTCAAAATAATTTTATTTTTACAATTGTTTATACGGCTCTCTCTCAACTCTCATTTTCCGCGTGATTGAGAGTTGAGTTTCGGGATCTCTCCGGCACTCTCTCACAACTCTCAATATTTTTGGGAGTTGAGAGTTGATTTTCAGAATAATTTGATTTTTACAATTGTTTATAGGGCTTTCTCTCAACTCTCATTTTCCGCGTGATTGAGAGTTGATTTTTGAGGTTTCTCCGGCACTCTCCCCCAACTCTCAATGTTTTGAAGGGTTGAGAGTTGATTTTCAGAATGATTTTATTTTCAATAGTTTATAGGGCTCTCTCGCAACTCTCACTTTCCGCGTGATTGAGAGTTGAGTTTCGGGGTTTCTTCGGCACTCTCTCTCAGCTCTCAATATTCATGGAAGTTGAGAGTTGATTTTCAGAAGGATTTTATTTTCAATTGTTTATAGGGCTCTCTCTCAACTCTCACTTTCCGCATGATTGAGAGTTGCGTTTGGGGGTTTTCCGACACTCTCTCTCAACTATCAATACTTTTGGGAGTTGAGAGTTGATTTTCAGGATAATTTTATTTTTCAATTGCTTATAGGGCTCTCTCTCAATTCTCCTTTTTCGGATGATTGAGAGTTGAGTTGTGAATTCTCTCCACAACTCTCTCAACTCTCAACTTTTTAAGGATTGGGAATAGATTCTTGGAATAATTGTTCTTTGTTCATTTGTTCTGGTAATATGGCTCCTCTCAACTCTCAATTTTAAAAAAATTCATAATAGATTATTAACGTCATTTTTTTGCTTCGTTTTTTATATTTATAGGACTATCTCTCAGCTCTCCATTTCCGGTCGATTGAGAGTTAAGTTTGAGGTCTCTACTTGAAAACTGATTTTAGCGTGTTTTCATTTTTCAACGGTTGATAGTGTTTTCCCTCGAGTTCTGACTTCTGGAAAATAGATAATAGATTCTTGGATTGATATTTTTAATGTTTACACGGCTCTCTGTCGACTCTCAATTTTTCGGAAATAGATAATAAATTCTTGAAATGATTATTCTCAATTTTTACAAAGCTTTCTCGCAACTCTCAATTTTTCCAAAATTGAGAATAGATTATTGACATAATTTTTTTTTCATTTTCGATTATAGGGCTATCTCTCAACTCTCAATTTCCGGGTGATAGAGTTGAGTTTAGAATTCTCTCCAGCACTCTCACAACTCTCAATATTTTTGGGGGTTGAGAATGGATTTTTTGGATATTTTCATTTTTCAATAGTTGGTAAGATTTTCTGTTATCTTTCCACTTTTCAAAAATAGATAATCGATTCTTGAAATGATTATTTTTGATGTTCATAGGGCTCTATCTCTCAACTCTCAATTTATGGGTGATTGAGAGTTGAGTCTTGGGTTCTCTCCGCGACTCTCTCTCAACTGTCAATATTTTTGGGGGTTGAGAGTTGACGGTTAGAATGCATATATTTTTCAATTGTGTATCGCATTTTTCCCTCAACTCTCAATCTTTTCAAAATTGAAAATAGATTATTGACATAATTATTATTTTTGCATTATGCACGTTTATAGGGCTATTTCTCAACTCTCTCAATTCCCGGGTGATTGAGAGTTGAGTTTTGTTTTTTTTCCGGCATTCTCCTAACTTTGAATGTTTTTTGGGAGTTGATAGTTGATACCTGCAATAATTCTTGTCTCTTTCCAATACACCCATGTGCGCCAGAGAAAGCTGACATTCGTCTCCGTGTGTATTGGAGAGAAACACATAGTGTATTGGGAAAAACTCAATGCTCAATCACTCATAAATTGAGAGTTGAGAGAGCCGTGTAAACATGAGAAGAATCATTCCAAGAATCAATTATCTATTTTCTAAAAGTCTGAAGTTGAGAGAAAATCCTATCAACTATTGAAAAATCAAAACATTTTAGAAATCAAATCTCAATCTCCAAAAATATTGGGAGGTTTCAAAACTCAACTCTCAATCATGCGGAAAAAGAGAATTGAGAGAGAGCCCTGCAAATAATTGCAAAAATAAAATTATTCTGAAAATCAACTCTCAACTCCCAAAAATATTGAGAGTTGAGGGAGAGTGCCGGAGGAACCCCAAAAGTCGACTCTCAATCACGCGGAAAATGAGAGTTGAGAGAGAGCCCTATAAACAATTGAAAAATAAAATCTTTCTGGGAATTAACTCTCAACCCTTCAATACATTGAGTGTTGAGGGAGAGTGCCGGAGAAACCCCGAAAGTCAACCCTCAAACGCGCGGAAGGTGAGAGTTGAGAGAGAGCCCTATAAACAATTGAAAATGAAATCCTTCTGAAAATCAACTCTCAACTCCCATGAATATTGAGAGATGAGAGAGAGTGCCGGAGAGATCCCGAAACTCAACTCTCAATCACGCGGAAGGTGAGAGTTGAGAGAGAGCGCTATAAACAATTGAACATAAAATCCTTCTGAAAATCAACTCTCAACTCCCAAAAATATTGGAATTGAGAGAGTGATGGAGAGATCCCGAAACTCAACTCTCAATCACGCGGAAGGTGAGAGTTGAGAGAGAGCGCTATAAACAATTGAACATAAAATCCTTCTGAAAATCAACTCTCAACTCCCAAAAATATTGGAATTGAGAGAGTGATGGAGAGATCCCGAAACTCAACTCTCAATCACGCGGAAGGTGAGAGTTGAGAGAAAGCTCTATAAATAATAAAAAAATAAAATCATTCTGACAATCAACTCTCAACCCTTCAAAACATTGATAGTTGAGGGAGAATGCCGGAGAAACCCCAAAAGTTAACTCTCAATCACGCGGAAAGTGAGAGTTGAGAGAGCCCTATAAACAATTGAAAAAGAAAATTATTCTGAAAATCAGCTCTCAACTCCCAAAAATATTGAGAGTTGAGAGAGAGAGTGCCGGAGAAACTCCAAAAGTCAACTCTCAATCACGTGGAAAATGAGAGTTGAGAGAGAGCCCTATAAGCAATTGAGAAATAAAATTATTCTGAAAATCAACTCCCAAAAATATTGAGAGTTGAGAGAGAGAGAGAGTGCCGGAGAACCCCCAAAAGTCAACTCTCAATCACGTGGAAAATGAGAGTTGAGAGAGAGAGCCCTATAAACAATTGAGAAATAAAATTATTCTGAAAATCAACTCCCAAAAATATTGAGAGTTGAGAGAGAGAGAGAGTGCCGGAGAACCCCCAAAAGTCAACTCTCAATCACGTGGAAAATGAGAGTTGAGAGAGAGAGCCCTATAAACAATTGAGAAATAAAATTATTCTGAAAATCAACTCCCAAAAATATTGAGAGCTGAGAGAGAGAGTGCCGAAGAAACCCCGACACTTTACTCTCAATCACGCGGAAAGTAAGAGTTGAGAGAAAGAGAGCTCTATAAACAATAAAAAAAAGAAATTTTTCTGAAAATCAACTCTCAAATCCCAAAAATACTGAGAGTTGAGAGGGAGCCCTATAAACAATAATTATCGATTAAAAAAAATCAAATTAAATCAAAATCATCATCAATGGAATTAATTATTTATTAACTTAATTATTCATTACATTAATCATCAATTTTATGGACGTAGGCCCTGTAACTCCAACTCTCACCTAACTCTCAAATTTTCTCCCAACTCGTGGAACAAATTGAGAGTAGTAACTCTCAACTTGGTCCGCTAGGGGGATGGGAGATTTAACTTCAGATGGAAAGGTAATCCATTTTTTTTCCTTCAATTGGGTAACTTACTGCCGAAATTATCCCGACGTGTTCTAGAAGAAAATACGTAGCTCGGAAAAATCATTATCAAATCTTAATATTTCGTTCTAAAAATACGTCACTGAATTACCAATGCAAAACCGACGCATTTGGACTGAAATTTAGAAAGACATAACTTAACAAACTCCACTCCCACTCCCCAATTCCAGTATTTTCCACTGCCACACGGAGGCTAATGGAAAAATATCAAATGTACATATTGATAGTGGAAAAAAGGCATGTGTGCAAGGAAAAAAGAGTCAATGCAAGAGCCAAGAGAGAAAATTGGAAAAAAAATGAATAAAATTAAGGAAATGATGATGGGGGTCAGTTTGCAGGCGTCCAATAATGCAAGAGAATACGAAGCACTAGCAGTTGACATTATTCCATTTCCTAGTTAGAAACTTGTAAATTAATCATCTACCTACTACTGTTATTCATGTGAAGCTAACGAGAAAATTTCAAAATACATAAATAAAGAAAAAAAAATGGATTCGCAAGCATAACGATGGATTTTGTCTTGGGGGAAAGTGAGTTAAGTTATTTGATCGACACTCCAATTTTACTTGTTAGTGTGAAACAGTTCATAATGGATTTGAAAAAACATCAGTCGTCTTTTTATCATCTTTGTAAACAACCATGTCATGCTCACAGATATATCCCTACAAACACGGATGAGTTAATTAATGCGATCAATCAAACGTGAAAAAAAAACCATTTATATTTTCATTTTAATTGTCATCTTTGCCACTGAATTAAATTTACCTACTTTGCGTTTGCATATATATATATATATAGAATGTCGAATATCCCCCGGCATCATTTTCGAGGGGAAGAGAATATTTAATTGGACTGTAGAAGCGAAAGGTCGGAGCATAAACAGAGAAAGGGAATAGATCATTCACTTACTTCAGTGCGACATTATCATAGATAATCCTCAAATATTTATGTGGATTCTTTCCAATTTCTGTGCGCAGTGCATTTTCAAACTTGAATATTTCCTGGCGGTCCTCGTCAATGATACATTGGTGGGGTTTACGCAGTGTTATCGTACCTGATGCAGTATCCATGATTGCTGTTGCTGGGCAAAGAAATGGTCCTCTGGAGTCTTTGCAAACGAGATATCTAGGAATAGAAGTTGCATATGGTAATTTATGGATTATTGTTGATCAGCCACGAATAGTTAACATTAACATTGGCAGTTAATATTATACTATTTACGAAAGTCCCTATGGGGTTGTTAAAAGTGTGGATATGGGGGTTGTGATATGACTGCTGGGTCAATATTAAAAGTTTATATATATAAATAATAAATATATTGGATTCGTTTCAGGAGAATTTCAAGCTCAATATTGGAGAGACGTCAGACATGTAGCAAATTGACGTCTCCATATCCATGGGTTTAGCTCTAGCTCTAGTTCTAGCTCATATGATTGCAGCCCTCGCCTTCGGCTCGGGCTGCAAACTCATATTCGCCAGAAAAGTTCCTTTCGGCCTAGTGACGAAATATACTATTTTCTGCTCGACGCAGCCGGAAAGTGGCAACTTCGTTTGGCGCCGCGGCCGGAATGCGTCAACGTCCTGGCCGCTGCGCTAAACGAAGTTGCCACTTTCCGGCTACGTCGAGCAGAAAAATAGTATACACACCTTGGCCAGTAAATAAGAAAGCCTCAGATCCCATGTTTGTTGACCTCGGCTTCGCCTCGGCCGACAATTACATGTGATCTGAGACATTCCTTACTTTACTGGCCAAGGTGTGTAATCTACTATATTCATTATACGATTGAGATAATAGATTTTTGAATATTTGATTGATATTATATAGCAATATTGACTGAAAATTCCATGCTAACGTCAATCTTCAAGAACTCACAAGTGATCATGCAACATCGTCATTTAAAAAATTGTGTTACCTTACCAGATTCATGCTATAACATATTAATTACGATTGAGTGTCACACGTTGTGCTTTCGATACAGAAATGTAACAGACAATTGAGACCTCAAAGGTGAAAACGCGCGAAATCTATAAATCGAGTCCTCACATATTTTTAAATAACGTTTTTCAGATAATAATTGCTTTGATTATATTAAAATTCATGAATCATTTTTTTTTCGCAGAACCAGTTTTTCTCCATTTTTCTTTTTCCCCATTAAAAAAAAACATTCTCTCTAATTTCAGCATATTTGAGTGACGAAGTTCAATACATCCTTGATGAAGTTTCGTAAATAACAAAAACAGATGTACGCAATAGTGCAGGGGATTGAAAATAAAATATATAGAATAAGTGTTTAAATTTTAAAATACCTCCTCATTTTATTAATGTTATTATCGTTAGTCCATGACCACAAACCAAAAAAATATTGTACGAAAAAATGTTGACAACTCAAAGAAAGTAACATTTTACATTTTGCCATATTTAGACACCACCTGGGGAATTAAATGAAGACAGTTTTTTTTTACCAAATACATCAAACAATAATATATAAAAATATTAAAAACGGCAACACCAAGCTTCTTTTACTAGACATTATCAAAGAATTGATTGTACTTGTAGTACATTTTAGAAACAAATATCCCTTGATAAATCCCCCTGAAAACTACTGATATTTGTATCATTTCAACTGTAATGATTTTACTGATGTAATAACATCATCACATTAAAATCAAAGGGGCGTAAAAGCTATGCTTATGCACAGCACTTACGCCCCTTTAATTTTAATGCGACGACATAGTTACATTTTACGGTTTAAATAGGCATTTTTGAGCTTGAAAAATACGAGATTCCCTGAATGTGATGAATGAGATTTAGTTGCTGATAAAGTTGTTTACGCGTGTACGGCATACGGTACACTGCATCGAGATGGTCCCACGCCTAAGTCTTCGAGCCAGCTCAATGGTGCACTATTCACACGAAACTTTGTGTCCACAAGGTTCATAAGTGACGTTAGCACGGCGATCCTTACATGAGGCACAGATAGTTGCTGAGTTCCTCGCGAGTTCTAGCCTCACCGTCTCTTCCATCTCTCTTCTTTCTTCATTAGTTGGAAGGGGGTGGTAACTGATCGGCTGCTCCTCCTCCGACCGTAATCATCCTCAGGAATATAGAAGATGGGGTCATCTAGAAAATGAGTCAAGAAACCATTATAGACTTCGTTCCATGCCTATCAAAGTACGTGATTATATTTTTCTTACCATCATCAAGCTGCTCCAGGTCTATAAACGACGGCTGCTGATCCACCTGCACAGCGACTTGTAAATTCCGAGGTGGTGTCCTCTCTTCCAACACCTACTCCTCCCACGGGGGGCTCAGCAACTTCGATATCCATGGGATTGCCACCGACTTGACCAACTGGTTCCACCGCAACTGGAATTTCCCCCATCGGAGGGATAATCCTCTGAGCCCTCATCTCTTCATAGATTGGCGCACCTGGCCCAGCGATCGCCTCCTCTCTTTCAGCTTCCACTGCAACTACGAGTGGCCCATCAACTTCGATATCCATGGGATTATCAAAACCTTGACCAACTGGTCCCACCGCAACTGGAATCGCCTCCACATCTAATGCTAGCACGAGGGGCTCAGCAACGTCCACAGCTGGAACCTGTGCTCTGACAACACCAGCGCCCAAATCGGCTCCGCCTCTGATCCCTCCTCCTTGGGCATCCGCCCTGACGGGAATCCTCAATGGAAAATGGCCTTGTGCTCCAATGACTGCAGCATTTCCTCCCAGTCTACGAGTTCTCACAGCCCCTACTTCTCTCTCATCTGGGACGTCTGGCACATTGACTTGCTGCTGTACTTGGCCATTTAATGCTGCCACCAGGAGATTAGCAACGTTTCCATTTCTAACACGTGCTCTGGCTGCACCGCCTCTGATCAATGGCGCATTCCCCCTGACTACACCAGCCACCCTATGTGCATCTCCACGACGTCTCAATGGGTTGGCCTGTGCTCCATTGCCATGGGCAGCGTTTCCACCAGCTGGTCTGGCGTTGTGATTAATTGGCTGACGCCGAGGCACTGCCATCCGTCGAGCATTTGGATTCACGAGTTGGAGAATTTGCTCTTCATCTCGAGCAGCGTTTCGTTGATTGTAAATTCTCTCCATGGCTAAAATAACAATCACAGACTTAATACTTGCAGAATTAATGTAGTTTCAAAATAAATTGTTCTTGATCTACAATAATGTCCAACTTGAGTTCAATAAAATACAGCTCATTATCACCGATTACAGAACTTTATACACCATCGTTTGTTACAATAATTAAATTCTCAGCAGGATTATGTCTAGAAATGTTTGTTGGAAAGGGTTGTTTCTACAATTATTTGTTTTCTATCCTAGTTCATCGATTTCTGTCACTCATGTTAAATTTAACTTAACTGCATTATTTGCACTCGGAGGAAATTCGAAATTTGTTATTTTTAGAAGAAAAAACCAAAAAATGTGTGAATTACAGTCCAAAAAAATATAATTACCGCATTCTTCGTGTCCTTCAGTTTTCAGCAATTTGAAGTTGGGATGAATTGTGGCGAGAAATTTCAAGCAATCAGCATACAGTTTTTTCATTAAGAATGCTGCTGATTTAACGAAGCGATCGACCTCCAATTTCCCACATTGTAGTTTGACCCATTGGAGCTTGAGCGAACTACGAGGATCACTCAGCTCCCGACCACGAGGAACCCAATGAAGTTTCCCACGATTTTTCTCTCTCTGCAGGGTCTTATGTTTCTGGATAATATACGCTGTAACAAGAATATCATTCTTAACAATTATGATGTGGTTCCGAATTTTTATTCCGTCGAATCCAAATTGTTCAATTCTCGTTTCGCGTTTTTTTTTTGTTCGATACTTGTAGAATCTTCAACAATTGTATATCAAGGAAGGAACTTTTTAGATACAATAATATAAATAATTGAAATTTCTGCCCGTAGATATCCTAGAATCTTTAGTACAGACCTGGAGAAAATAGGAAACAACAATTCGCAATTCAAGACACCGAAAATGATTGATCAATTGATTGCCCGAACTATCATCCATTCATTCTTAATTTTTCTCATCATTACGATTATTATGCAAATTAAAGTTTTGAACTGCATACTCATTAGATCCCAAAAATCAGCGTCTCGCTTGATGTGCTTATTGAAGCGCTTGATCACGGTTTGCTGAAAATCTTTTACAGCATCATTATCCAGGTAGAAACTCATCTTGGAAGGGCCCACGAGGACAAGCCACTCATCCTCGAAGGACTCGAGCAAATTCGCTAATTGGGTCTTCTGTTGAAGTGTTAATTGCTCGCACAGCTTTCCATAACCAGCCAAGATGTTATCCTCGTTTAACAACGATAGACTGCAGAGTTGGGAAATAACAATTCCATTTGTACCGTCCAAAAATCTCACATCAAGCTCCTTTGCCTTGGCCCAAATGATCTGAAAAACAATTGGAAATTAGATTTTTTCCTGAGGATATTCATGCTTGTTGGTAATCGGGAATGAACAATTCAGGCCTGAAATAATATCATTAGTGCTCATCACATTGTCCTTATGATTTCAATAAGAAAGAAACTTCATCGTAAATTTCAAAGGATAATTCCTGCCCAAATATGATAACCCATAAAAGCGGATTTCGAAGCATTATCATGATATACTTGCAGAGAGTGGGTGTAACGAACCGTTTTGAATCATGAATATCATATCTTTCTTAAGGATCTCTTCCAACAAGCATAACTTATTCTCATTTCGTAATCCTGATATTGAACTTTGAGAATGATCTATTGTACTCACTGATTTGCAAAGACATCATTCAAAGAACTTAAGTTAAAAAATTATAATAGTTAATATCGAACCAGCTGTCATTGGAATGATCGTTAATAGCTTTAAATTTCGTGGGTACCTTCAGAGGACCCCCACGGAATTTTCTCATCCCCCAAGTTTACAAAAAATGTCAATTCACAATTTTCCATTTTTTTTTCATGAATCTTCTGCTAGAATTTTCGCTAGAATTTTTTTTTTGAGGATTGTAACACTCACGTTCGATAAGTAGTACATGGTGCCCTTTACATGCGTATACGATTGCTGCAGTTGTTCGTGCAGGTCGTGATCCAAGTTGCCATACATTGGCACGTTTTCGCCAAATGTTTGTGTTAGTTTGTTGACCACTGATGTATATGCTGCTGGTAATTTATTTTTAATCAGAACCCACAAACATGTCTTGACCTGAAACCGGAAATCATCATTATCAGTTACTATTATTACATATTGATTAATTGTCGGGAATGAAAAATATTGGATACGTTTTTTTTTATTTTCAAGAATAATGAAAAATGAACAAGTTATAGGCAATTGGAAACGTCTGCCTCATGACGTCATGCTAAAACGTCGATTTACAAGACATTGTGACGTTATAAGGCAAACGTTTCTTCCATTGGCGATAACTCCTTGTTTTTTCATTCTCTTTGAAAATAAAAAAATCAAATAAAGGAAAGTTCTTACGGTGTTGGCGACCAGTGCAGATATGATAAGGATTTCTGATACTGGCAGATCTGGTGGATTGTAGTTGGCTATGGAGGCGAAGGAAACTGATGATATGAGTGAATGTGACAGCTCTCCGAGGTGTTCTGGATCGGAGAAAATTATAACTTCAGCGTCCTCTCCCCGATTAAAAATTTCGACATCCATTACCGCACCATCGACGCACCTGAGAAGTGGAGAATAGGTAACGGAATTCAATTTATTATATAAAACTGAATATGAAGCATTGAATTCCGGTAAGATGAGATTCCCTCGCCATGTCTTCATCTTCTTTGAAACCACTGCCCAGTTCATTATCTGTGCAGCTTGCCAGTGCCTGTAAAGAATAATGGAAAATTAATATGGGCATCCAGATGTCAATTATACTAAAGGAGATGATGCGGAACTATCTAAAATCGAGTAATCGATAATTGTGAAATCGATATAAAAATATCTATATAATGATGACGTGTTATCCGGTTTATAGTTGACAAATGACAGATGATGGGTTAAATAAAATGGTGCCATTTGTCAGTGAAAAGTGAAAACGTTTGGGGAGGCGCGCGAAGCGCGCTTCAAAAGTGCTAGTCTATATAAATAGAACACTTGGATAATAAATAGAACAATAGAATAATTGGGTGACACGTAGATATGTGTAATCAACTTACACTGGTGCCAAATTGTCGTATATGTGGCGTAACTGCCTGAGTTGAGTTGAAGCGGCTTTGCATAATTGGTGGGTAAATTCCTCTTTTCTCTCCAACTCTCCATCCTCTGCATGATTGTGAGGTTGAGTTAATGTGAACACCTCATTTCTTAGAGTACCTCGCCCAGGGCAATCATATTTTGTTGCATCGGTGCACACATAGGATCTAGATAGGAGGAATATACATTTTACACGTGTTTCAATATTTTTTACTTGAAAATTGACATCACTTTTTTCGGACTTACGTATTTGCATCTCTCCTCCTTTCCTTGTAATAAGGACGATTATTGAATATTCGATCCAGCTTTCTGATGGCCGCCATGGTGCCAGCACCCACTTGTGTAGACTTCTTTACAGCTCGTGCGTGACTGAATCAGTCAGATTGATGTCGACTCGAGTGCTCGTGGCTTACCCTGCGCATGATGGTCACGGAGAGGGAGAATAGAATTGAAAAAAGAGTGGGGGTAACTACAGGAACGCCCTCCGCTCGTGGTTGCATACAGGCTTGTGGCACATGCATGTGTACTATGTGTGTGCTCTATTACAACGAGCACTGGAATAACATTTATGATTTTTTGTCATTCCGGCCGTGAGGCAGCGCTTCACGGACGCTCCGCGTCCGTGAATCTCTGCCTACGGCCGTCAAAACAAAAAATACTGTTCGTCATACGGCCAAAAAAAACTTTTCTAGCTCATATGATTGCAACCCTCGCGTTCGGCTCGGGCTGCGAACTCATATTCGCCAGAAAAGTTTCTTTCGGCCTAGTGACGAAATATGCTATTGTCGTACTATATTCGCCACGAGTACTAAACAGGAGTTTTTTAATTAATAATACGCGGGCAAAAAAGTCCTATTTTCGATACGCATCACAAAAAAAATATCACCACTTCTATCAAGTATTATACGTTTTACACGTACAAACAATATTTCCGAAAAAGGCTCATAATAGTTGTGGCAATTGAATCTCTTCAAAAATACATAAATCTTGTGTTTTTCGTATCTCTATTATTGACAAAGTTATCGCACATATAGTGGGGAGGGGAGACGTTCTACCCTCTCAGCTCTCAGCCCATACCAGGCGCCGATGATCTTGTGAGCCGCTGATCGGAAAAATATCTCTGTAAATAATGGAGATGTGAAAAAAAGTCAAAAGACAATATTTATGTATTTTCGGTAGAGAAACATTCTTTTGTTACTGACTTTTGTTCGTATCTCTAAGCGTTTAGCCGCAAAAGCTTTATAATCAATTAAATTGTTGTAAAAAATGAAAAAAAATTGTTATAAATAAATATAAGCGACTATGACTCGGAAAAACGAAATTCGGATTCAGCATATAAGGTCAAATTAAATGGAGGTCGTAGTGGACACAGAACCAAGGCTTAGCGGGTGGATTATAATTTGAGATATATTTTCTTTTTGTTCTATACATGTGTGTTATTATGATTATTTGTTATATTAAACGAAGGAATGTGGAGGGACGGGGTTGAAGGAACATATGCATACTTGCCCGGGGTTTTATGTCGTCACCTTGGTGTGAAAAAGACTTATGTGACGTGTGTCACTACGAAAAATTGAGAGAATCACATTTAATAAAATGTGGTTGAATGTGTGTGCGGGCGGGTGCGGGTGAGCGGAGAGTGGGATCATGAAGGCCTTGGCGACGGGGATGTATAGGCTGAGGCTAGCTGTCTGTTAGAGTGCGCAATGGCGCAAAAGAGTTCAATGCAATGGAGGAGTTTCGATGTAGTTTGCATGTATGAGTTTGCTATACGCGTAAACCCCCCCTCCACGTAGCAATAAATGAACGGGATGAACACCATACCTATATGACAATATCACCTTGCGGTCTCTCCTTTTCGGGGCCGCTTGTTTTTACATTGATTGCGTATCCTTAGAAGCGTTATGTAAACACAACTGTAGAGAGAATAAAAACGTCAACACGAACAAAGGCGTCTTTTCTCCGAAATCTATTCTCACGAATTCCTCTCGCTCCCCTTTCTTTTCGTTTCATCTGGGATTTTTTTCCAACCCATTGACATTTTGACACCTATAAACAACTGTTTGAGGATGTACCAAAACATGTAGGCCTAATAGGACGCCTACGGTAATCCCCAAGAATAACTTCGATGAGTTTCATAATTTTGCTGTAACTGATTACAGTTGGTGATTACCAATCCGATAAATAAAATGTGTCATTCAGTTATTGGGAATCAATGTCATTGTCCAAAATGCGTTCTCTGGAAAATTATTGGAGGTTGAAAAAAATGGTAACATTGCAATCATATAGATTCTACTCCAGTATAAAACAACTATTGTTTATTGCACGATTTTTATGGATCGATGAGTTACAAAAATGAACGCGTCGAAATAGTTGCGCGTCTGAGATCCATTCTACCCCATTCTTCCGGTTTCTCACCGCGAAACTCATCATTGTGCATGTCATTTTCGGTGGGATAAGGAGTGGTATACATTAATGTCCCTTCAATTATGTCGATTTAAACAAATATGTTCTACTTTGAATTTTTTTTATCCCTCCCTCGTATCCGACAAAACGCGTTTTTTTGACAATAACATGGTTTATAACAACGGATGGCTCATTTCTCGGATTGGCAACCAACAATCTCATAATCATGCATCACATAAATATAAAGGCCACCGCTCTGCCATGCTGTGAACTTTTTTTGGTCAGTGTCACAATGGTAGTGAGTTAGGAAATATCCCATTGAACACGACATCAGCAAAATTCCAGAAAAAAAATAATGGAAAGGGACGAAAATAATTCGTAGTAATAGCTTTCGGAGGAGAGATATCGTTGTTGACGTTGACGTATTTATAAACATATACATAAACATATACATAAACATATATATTTTCCTTTTCTAGCTTTATTTACATCACGGTCCAAGTTGGGTGGCATAACTCTGAAAAAAAAACAATTCTTAAAAGAAAGTGCCGAAAAGGGAGCGTTCAAATATTACGTCACACGTTTAGGGGGGGGGGTCAGGATTTTGTGACGTTCGTATTGAAGGGGGCGGTGGGGTCGGCTAGGTTGTGATGTCCCACCATAATTCGTCTTAGTTTTTCAATAACAAAATATCAAATGATTTTTTTTCACAAAAATGACGATGCTTTTGTTTTTTTTTCTAAAGAAACAGAAGTATCGTCAGAGAACCCATTTACTTTGTCTATGGGAATGAGTATCCCAAGTAATTTTTTTATTTTTGGAACTATCCCAAAGATTCGCAAAGAGAACATTATGAAATGATGGATTCATTCTATATGCGTAATCTCATGTCTTTCTGTTGAAATATTTGAACACAGCTCTTCTGTTTTTCTTCAAAAATCACTCGACAAGGTTTATGACGTGTTGGGGAAAGTCCCCAGAAAAGGACTAATTTATGATCCGTTGTGCTCCGAACTCGAGAGCGTTGCAATCCTTACCACATGTAGAAATTCAAAGGAAACTCTGTCCTCTGGAGTCATAAACTTTGTCTTGCTTTTCCTTCTGTTGGAATTCATGCCTGAATACAAAAATTAATTTCTTAGTTTAGTTAAATATTTTCTCTTTTCACCCAAACACTCAGGGTGACATTTATGGCTTTTCTTAGAAAATAGAGACGTGAAGAAAAACAGTCCTCATGGTGAGTCACAAAGGAGAGGCTGAAGAAAATTGAAACAAGGGCCTTTTGTCAAATGGGTCCAGAGAGTGAAAACTCTCATGACTTTTAGTTAGTCGTCCTAGAGACTTCGTTGGAGAAAGATATACCTTCTGCGTGCGATCATTAAAGAGTTTTACTTTGAAGAATAAAACTAATGTGTTTTTATTGAGTATTCCTACACATAATCCAATAGGTTATGGGCCCAGGATACTCCGCGTTTTATAGTAGTTAATTTCTTTCTATTATGGTCAAGTTTTTCTTATTTTGAGTTATTAAAAAGTGAATTAAAATGTCTACGTCGTTGAAAAGCGATAGGAGAAACATTAAGTTGTTCGATGGTGAAAAATATAATGTTTGGAGATTCAGGATTTATGCTTTACTCACTGAACTCGGTGTAATAAAAGTGATTAGTGAACCAGTTCCTAATTATGTAACTGCAGAGTGGAAGAAATTGGACAGTACTGCCACAAGTGTGATTGTTAATTATTTAAGTGATTCATTTTTGGGTTTTGTCACAAATGAAACCAAGGCAAGAGACATTTTTGAAAAATTGGACAAATTATATTTGAGGAAAAGCCTTGCGACTCAACTTGCACTGAGAAAGAAGTTACTTGCACTGAAACTGGAGGGCGAGACAACCCTGTTGAAACATTTTGTGAATTTTGATGACTTGATTAGTGAATTAATCACAGCCGGTGCTAAATTAGAAGAGATGGACAAGATCGCACATTTGTTATTGACAATGCCAAATGCATACGATGGTGTAGTTACGGCAATAGAGACTTTATCAGAGGATGCATTGAGCTTGGAATTTGTTAAAACACGACTGCTGGATCAAGAAGTAAAATTAACAAATGAAAGTCGAGATACCAGTAGTAAAATTCTTCAAGCTCAAGCCCAAAATGCAAGTGTCAGAAATGAAAGTGATAAGAAAAATCAAAAGCATTTTCGACAAAAACCCAAAAGACCGAATAAATTCAAAGGACAAAATAAATCGATTGGAATCAAGTGTTATCATTGTGGAAGGCCAGGGCATCAAATTAAAGATTGTATTCATCACAAAAGACAACAAGAATACACTAAAAACAGGCAAAATAAAAACACTGCACAAATAATGCAGGTCGAGCAGCCCTCGGCTTCAAACGTCTTCAAATCGAGTTTCGCTTTTATGGCTCTTGAACATGTGGCATTTGAGGAAACACAGAAAAAAATTGTTTTTCTCCTCGACTCTGGGGCCACAGACCACATCATAAATCGTTTAGACCTGGTGACAGATTTTGAAGACCTGGAGATCCCAACACAAATTACTGTTGCAAAGAAGGGTGTTTTCATCACGGCAACAAAAAGGGGTACGCTGCGGGTGACAAGCAACAAAGGTTTCCAGGGAGAACTTAAGGATGTCCTGTACTCGCCTGATTTACCCCACAATCTACTCTCTGTTCCGAAAATGCGTAAGGCTGGATTTACGGTAATTTTTGGACCAGAAAAGGTAGGAATTTTAAAAGATGATCAAGTGATCATGGAAAGTCAATCCGTCAATGGATTGACCGCTCTCGAGTTTGCGGTTATCTCTCAAAGGGTAAAGTTAGCTAATCAAGCATCTAATAATAAAATTAATTATGAAGTTTGGCATCAACGCTTGGGACATATTGGTAGAAATAAATTTTTAGAATTGAAAAACAAAGAAATGATTGATGACATAGAGTTGA